GGCTTGGTTTCAGTTTTGACGTAAACAAGATCTTCCCCGCATTGATTGTTCTTTTTCCGCAATATTTTTAATGAACAACGTAGCAGCGCCGCATCTAGTGGCTTCAACTGGATAGGCTAACAAAAACATTATAATGCAATGACACTTACATCGTCATCGTCATCGCATCTCGTGCGCCGCTGATAAGGCTGCCTCCTTAACGCACACCTAAAATTTGAATGCAACTTTTTTGCATTCGAATGTGGATTTTTATTTTAAATTCGACGAATATTCGAAATTAGAATTTTTTTTGACAGCCCTACCAGTCACCCATGACGTTTGCACCAATGCAACCCCATATCATGACAGAAAGTCTGGATGGTCCTTTTGGTCTTTGGGACTGAGAACTCTACGTCCATTTTTCTCGGAAACAAGTTGAAATGTGGACTCATTTGAGTACAGCACACATTTTCACTGTCTTTTTGACTATCTGAGATGAGCTCTGGCCCAGAGAACCCGGCGGCATCGCTGCATAGAATTGATGTATAGCTTTCTCCTAGAGTAACAGAGATTCAAGTTGCATTTCTTGATGCAGCAGCAGACTGTGGTAAATGACAGTGGTTTTCTAAAGTACTCCTGAGCCCATGTGGCTATATTTAATACCGCAGCATGATGGTTTCTTATGCAATGCCATCTGAGGGCTCAAAGGTCATGCATATTCACCTGAGGTTTCCTGCCTTGTCCTACATGTACTGTGATTTCTCTGGATTCCCTGAATCTTTTCACAATATTATGTATGGTACTTGGTGAAAGACCTCAATTCTGTGCAATTTTGCATTGCAAAATGTGAGATTTGTTTGTATGACACTTCTCTTGTGAAATTTGGCACCAAGTGATGAGCCATGATCCAGCTTTGCTTGCAAAGACTGAGATGCTCCTTTTATACACAAACATGATAACTTGACCTGATTCACCTGCTTACTATGAACTGTTTCAAAACAGTTTAACATGGATATTCTATAACCTTTTCACTTTTATTTTGCCTCT